GGTCACTGTGTGTTTACTTACTGCTGAAGTGCCTCTTCTGTAACTTTTGAGTTAGGATTTCTACCATCAGGCCCTAATAACTATAAAAAAGTACTTGTCAGAGTATATTTTAAAGAATGTTAATTTCAAAATTCAAATCTTAATTAAAAAGGGAATTTTTAGAGGGAAATCAGATTATATAACATCAAAACGTACTATTCAGGGTCACACTAAGAAGAGTGCCCCTTTTTTTTACCTGTTTCACTGAAGTAAAATGGGTCAAGATTGGTTTTTTATCAAAATTTGATGCTTACAATCTGACCACCCTGAGCAAAAATATTAGTTTTAATGCATGACCATGTTTCAGAAAGCAGCTTTAACTGAAGACGTATTTGATTTTATTTATAGTTAAGTGAAAAATCTAATTTTAAAATAAAAGCCTAGTGGTTATACTGTTCCTTTTTTTTTTATTTAGCCTTTATTCAACCCTGTTAGTCCCAATAAGATTTAAAATCTTTTGCAGGAGAGACCTGGCCAAGAGGGCAGCAGCATAGAAGTCACGAGATATAAAAAAAAAAAAAAAAAAAAAATCCAAATTCAAAATATTAGAACTCTCCAAAAACTCTCACCTAAAAAAAATACACAGAGACATAATTGATTGAAACCCATAGATTGGAGAATATAACTTACCTTTTTTCTTGTTAAAATACTGATTGAAAAGTAGAGATAACAGTTTTTATACATAAAAGCATACCAGTTAGGGAGGGGTTGGGTAATTTTCTTTCAGCCAGCTGACCGCCAGAAGCTTTTTAACCAGCAATTTCAATCAGTTAAGGGCCAGAAAGGGTAAAATATTGTCAAATGGAGTGGTACTTTCATTTAAGAGTTAATAATGCAGAAATAAGGATGTTGAGAAAATATTGAACCACATAATTTGGTTCCTCACATCATTAGCATTAAAAGGGATAGCTTATGATGAGTTCTTAATGAAAACCCAAATGGAGAGAAAGGATCAGTGTTATAGCTTGTGTCTAAAACAAATTAAATCCAAAAATCTGATTAAATACAGCGATACTTGTCCTTTTAAAGGCAAACATTCAGAGGAAAAGATTAAGAATATCTTGCTTCTTGTTTTAAACATGTAAAGATCAATTTGATCTTTAAAAAAAAAGAAAAAAAGTACACTAACATATGTATCTACTGTATTTATTAGGCTGACTTGTATTTATTTTTTCAGTATGTTGCAACTGTCCCTCACCCTATCTACTGTCCTAAAACTAGCTAGCTTAAAACATGAGTCTTTCCCTTATTGCATATGACTGAAGCCAAAAACAGCTGATTCAATAAATACTTTTGAGGAATATATACACCTTACATATAGATTTTTTTTTTTTTTTTTATTTGACAAAACAATAGTCAGATCTAACTGATCTTTTCTATTAATCACATACCATTTGGATAGGAACCCTTTACTTGTTGAGTTTATTTGATAGGGACACTTACTTAACAACATAGACCTTGAAAAAAAACAACAGCTTCATGCTAGCATTATGGTGCCAATATTGTGAACAAATCTGTAGCCCTTGCCTTCAGGGGGGCTTTTATAAACACTATCTAAAACAATACAGTAAATAGTGTAATAATGAAAGGGCTGACATAACATCTAACTGTCTTGTTTTTTTTCAATTGTTGGTTCTAAGTTTTCTTTTTGAGTTTTTTATATGTTTAATTTCAATTTTGTGTTGTTTTCTGGTTGTATTTGAGTTCTTTGTATTTCTTGTTTACTCTCTGTTGCCCTCTTGTGTCAGTCTCCTCATAGCTCCCTTCTAGATCCTTCTGTCCACACCTGCTCCCAATCAGTTCATTACCACAGTCTTTGTTCTGTTTGGCATATATATACTCCGCCTCTTCTGTTACTGTTTGCTAGTTCCTCGTTGTTTCTTCACTCGTCGTGTGTTTTCCTGACGTCTTCTGGTTTTCTGCGTTTTGTTATTTTTGCCTCAGTTGCCACTATTTGGAATATTAGATCTGTAAGAAACCACTTCTGCTTCCATCTCTGCATTTGGGTCCTTCAAACCTCCTCTCAACCTGACACTAACAGCATATTCAAATACGGACATATACAGCAGACACTAATATATGAGTGAAATGTATAAAACATGATTTCAAGGCTGTTTTTGACACAGCCAGGATTGTTAAATCTTTTCACAGATTTTAAATAAGCAGAGATTAAGTTCACAGAGTGCTTTAAGTGATAAAGGTTTTCCTGATGCTGCTTTGGTTTATCTACTGCAGTTCTGACGCTTGTTCAAATGTGGTTTAGGGGCACGTCCATTGAGACATTGAAAATTATGTATATCTTTTTAACTTCAAATATATAAAATTTACAATCTATGCTATGAAATTTCACCACTTACAGTGTTGAAATCTTCAAGGTCCGATTGTAAAAAACTTTCCAAAGGTCTCACTTTGGGATCACACAATAGCTACATATGACAAGTGTGAGAATAATAAAATTTAAGAACGTCTCTGCACACTCAAAGGTTAGGCATTGTCTTATTTAAAAACACTTCATGTTTGATCTGACAGTCTTGTAGATATTTTAAACATGATTTTTAAAATTTAACTGGGGATTTAAAATCATTCCCACATATTTTTCTTCTGATCTTAAGTTGAATCCCTTATACTCTAAAATTACAAATATAAAGTTTTTCCGATTGAGAAAAAAGTATATTTTGGTTTTTTTTTGTGTTCAGGTTCAAACAGTAGTCACAGAAAAGAATGGGTCCTAAGATAGTTCTTTGAGGAATCCCTGTTTTGATTTTTGTGAAAAGATGTTCTAGTATTGTCGATGATGACGCATTGTTTACGATCTTTTAAAAAATGACTCCAACCAAGACATTGACTGTTCTGAGAAACCAAAGGATGAAAGTTTGGAAATGACTAAATCGTGTTTCACAGTTCTGAAATCTTTTTTTTTTTTTTTTTTTATTGAGGAACACTGCACCAAATTATTCCTATGCCCAGAGATGGCTTTATCTCTTCCAACTGAAAACAAGTTGTAGTCTCTATTAGTTGGTCATGTCTAAAGACAAATTGGAGAGGGTGTAGAAGGTATTTAATTTTAAGATATTTCAGAAGACAATTTTTAACATGATAGGAGGTAGATTTATTGGTCTGTGTCGTTTCAAACTATGTGTTCCCTGTTTTTAAAATAGGTCTCACGAGGGCCATTTTTTCATGCTTCAGGAAATATTTATGACATACATTATCCTAAAATTATTACTCTTAATGGAAAACGTGACAAAAAAAACAACTGCTAGGTTTGAGCTGTTTTATTTTGCAAAACAATGGGTTTTTTGTATTTTTAACTTATTTCTAACAATTAACTTTATGTTTTTCTGTTTTTTTTTTAGGTTTTAAATCTTGTATTCTTTACCATAAATGACTCAAGTTAATGTTAATTACATAAATGTTGTTGTTTAATTTAATAAATTTTTTAATATAACGTAGTTGATTACAGTATAAACAATTTATTGTATAAAAAGATGTATAATATGTGTTTGTATTTAAGCCATGCCAGGGGCGGAGCTACAGGGGGGCCAGGGGTGGCCATGGACACCCTTACCCAATCCTCTGTGGCCACCCCTACCATTTTTTTCACCTTAATACTGACAGTGGCAGCAGTAATACTCTCAATTTCTTAAAACATTTAAATTTTTCATAGATTAACAGTTACTTGACAACAAAAACACTGTGGTTAATTATGCACATCAATATACTAACATTAAAGATTATAAGTACAACATTTATGCTCTTTTCAGAACTAGATTTTGTGTTATACCAGGTAAAGAGAAAATGCAAGTCAGTCTTCAGTGAAATCATAGATAAATAACTATTCTAATAAAAACTTAGTAAATAATCAATTTTTGTAGATATTAGTACTTGTAAATATAAATTTTATGCAGAAGGATTATTGATAAATGTAGGTAAGTAATGACAATGGAAAAAGATGTTTGACCCAGAACTCAAACCTTTATCCACTAAAACTTTTATCTAGATGGATGTTTAAATATATGCGTCTATTTGTTAGCAAAGGCTGTATGAAAGTATAGTTTGTCTCAGAGGC